GGAGGAGTTAGTGTCTCAGAGAACTCACATTGCCTTGATTTTTCCTGTGTCTTATATTTTGTGTGATCATTTTACATGTGTTGCTTTGGATGTCTCCTGGGGTTTGGGGGAGGGAGTCTCCTTATGGAGCACTGTACTCTTGAAGACTCCATCTCATTACTCCTCAGGGAGGAGAAGACAAGCTGTTGCAGCAAAGCATCTGTCACACAGTGAAAAATAAAAGTCAGGCGCCATGAAGTCTCTCAGGCAGGTCGCATACCGGTCAAGAATTCCAACTTACTGATAAGTAAGTTTTATGGTCGAGACATCTGGCTTACTGATAAGTAACTTTTATGGTTGAGACATCTGGCTTACTGATAAGTAAGTTTCCCGCTTTCCCTGTAGCATTTTGTAATAGTTTAAATTAGCCAATAACCGCGCTTCTGCTTCTGTATCCCGCTTCTGCTCTATAAAAGTTCCAAAAACCCGGCCTGAGGCGCGCAAGTCCTCCGAGGAGACTTTGTGCCCACAGGTACCTGTGTACTAAATAAACCTCTTGCTGTTGCAACCCGAAGGCTGACTTGTCCTCAGTGGTTTCACTCTTACACCAGGTGCTTTCTACTAGACAGGATCCACATGCTGAGTTGAATAAACCCAAGTTGTTGAGGGAGCGTCCACTGAGGGCCTGCCTCAAAGGGTTGTGGGCCTTGGTCCATTTCTTTTCCTCTCTTTGCTTCCTTGCTACTGTGTCAAGTGTTGTGAATCAGGCTCTGCCTGTGATGTGTTGCCTCATGCCAGGCCAAATCAATCATAAACAGAAACTTCCAAAACTGTGAGCCAGAATATACCTCTTCTTCTCATAAATGAAATAACTTATTCATTTCATTATCGTAACAAAAGCTAACTAAACACTGTAGATGACCGATGAAGAAATGAAGGGGCAGGGCTCCTCACTTCAGGCTAGGTGGAGAGCTCTACACAAGTCTTCTTGGGGGATGTGTGACTCCCCTCAGTCACCCAGGGGTGACATGCCTAGAGCCACCTGCTTCTGTCTTTTGTTACACAAATGAGGTGTGAGAGGGAGGCCCATCTGGGAAGACTTCATGTATTGAACATAGGGAAACAGGTTTGTGTAAGTGCTTTATTTCTTGCTATTTGCTGAGGTTTGGGGGAAAAAGTCCTTGGAGCTAAAAACGATTAGCACGAATGATATGTTCCAGGAGACATGTGCAAATATATTTCACACTGTGCTGTGGGTGTTATTTATTTAAGGTGTGTTGGTTCTAAATATGTTGTATATCTTCTTTTCCATCAGCTGCTGTTCCAGTGTAATATAGCTGCATCCTTACTTGATATTACACTTGCATATTATACTAGTTTCTGGTAGTCTTTATTTAAGGTTTATTATCAAACAAGTGCAGAGTGCAGAGTCTCAAATCTGCCTTGAGAGTTTCAGGATTAGTAGAAATTGCTGCTGATAAGAAAAAAAATCAAATTAGTGCCTCTGCCTTCCTGGACCTCCATTTCAGGTCTAGCCTCTACCACAGGTCCTCTCATGGCCCTGTAGGGGTACTTTAGGAACTTTAAAAAAAATAATGAACTCGAGCCGGGCGTGGTGGCGCATGCCTTTAATCCTAGCACTCGGGAGGCAGAGGCAGGTGGATCTCTGTGAGTTCAAGGCCAGCCTGGTCTACATAGTGAGTTCCAGGACAGCTGGGGCTACAGGGAGACCCTGTCTCAAAAAGACCAAAAAAAAAAAAAAATGAACTCCTCAGACAAAATTACTGTCTCTGGTCAAGAGTCTGGGGCAGGTGTTTGAAGACCAGGGTCTGTACACTGCATCTTGCCTTTATCTTTGAGTTTCTGTCAGAGAACCACCCAGAGTAGTTCAACTGGCTGTTGAGATGAGCTTGGGAAGCTCCTGGAGGGATTTTCAAGTTCCCCTCCCACTCCCCTGCCCAGTCATCCTCCCCAGCAACAGTGATCTTTCAGTGTCCATCAGCTCCTGCAGGGTCCACATTAAAACCTCAGTGGTGGTTTTCTGCTCTTCACTGTCCAAGCTCTGCTTGGTTCCCAGGGCCTCCTGTGTTCCCAGAGCACAGCCTCCTGCCCCAGCCACCTGCCTTTCCCTGCTTTCTACTGCCCGCCTTGGCATTGCTGTGGCCACAGCTTGGAGGGATCTTTCTAGGAATTTCAGCAACTAGTTCATGCTTCAAGCTTTAGTTCTCAGAGCTCCTCTTGGACGTCCTAATTAGGATGCTGTCCTCCAGGGCTACCACAAAGGCCCATTTATTTCCTTAGATGTGAATGTAATTGTTATCTCGTTTATCATCTGTCATTGTCTCCCCTTCCAGAACATAAGTGCCATAAACACTAGTGACTGTCCTGTCCACCATTGTCCCCAGCACCTATGTAGGTAACTAGAGTGAAATGAACTAGCTGGGTAATCTCAAAAAAGGAGAGAAGAAGGCCACATCATTGTCAAAGACTAGCCAAGAAATTCATTTCCTGTTTGCAGATGTGCTTTTTACCTTCGAAGGGACCTGCAAATCTGCTCATTCTTTCTGATAGGTGGAAAATATTTTCTATCAGTCAATTAGGGGTAGTGATAGGTTAATTTTTCCATGTAAAACAACTCCCCAAGCTGAATACAGTAGCTTACCCATTTTGCCCCTCAGCAAGGTTCCAAGGTCACCCTTCTGAGGTTTTCTCCATTCAGGCTCAAGGCTGATGAGATGGCCCAGGACATGGGCAGGAGGATGGCAGAGAATCTGCAGCAGTGAGAAGTGTTCCTAATCACTTCTCAATCTGCACATCAGAAACAGTTTTCTTGACTTTTTAAAAAAGATCTGTATTTTATTTTTTACCTATGTATGTGTGTGTTTGTCACACGTGTACAGGTGCCAGAAGGGGGCAGCTGATTCCTTGGAGCAGAAGTTACAGGTGGTTGTGAGCCACCCGACATGGGTGGTGGTAAATGAACTCAGGTCCTCCAGAAGAGCAGTAAACACTCTTAACCACTGAGACATCTTTCCAGCCCTTCCTGACTTTTCTCATTTCCTGGCTAGCAATCTGTATGTAGTAGGATACCCTCTGAAGATGTGGGCAGCCCTGTTGGCCACATGCCTCTTGAGTGATCATTCACAACTGTTGGGAGGACTATGCTGCTCTGAATGTGATGGCTGGAAAACTAGGTGTAATACATGAATTTTCAACTTAGGATGTTCTTCAGTTTACAATGGGTTTATCAAGATGTAACCACAGTGTGGATGAAGGAGCATCTCTATTCTACAGTAGCATAACTCTACTTATTTGATTTCCAGAAGCAAAAATTGTTCCATAAATGTGACTTCCCCCTCATAGCTGGAAATGTTCAAAATGTACTTAAAAATTTACAAGTTGTTCTGGATGTAACTATTCCTAAATATACCACTCATTTTCTTTCCTTCTTTAAATAGGACTTGGTGCTCAGATTTGACTGTACATTGGATTCAGCTGGGGCATTTATAAAGCTATGGAAGCCTGGGTCTCACCCTAGATTTTCTCATGCCCCTTGAGCATAGCCTGGGCATTGGAAGTTTTCAGTGTTTCCAGACATTTGGAATGGTAGGGATATTGGGTACACTAAAAAATTAATAAAATGATTTAGGATAATCTTCCTCTTTTCACCTCTGAGGATGTTGAAAGCTGAAAGGCTTGACTGTGAATGACCCTAGGGAGGAGTGGCACTGTGAGGAAAGATAGTGGCCATGACTGAAAGTTGAGAGGAGGGGACAGATCCTTAAGGATTTAGGAATAGACTCTGCTGTGCTTGCCATGTGCTTGCCATTCTTCTAACCTAAAATTATCTGATGAGAAATCAGGAGTAGATATTTAGATAGTAAATGCTGGTTCTTACATTTGAAAGAACAGTGATCTAGGCACTGGAAAGATGACTCAGTGGTTAAGAGCACTGGCTACCCTTGTAGAAGATGTAGGTTTGGTTCCTAGTACCCATGTGGTGGTTAACAACGATCAGTGATTCTAGTTCCAGGGGATCAGATGCCCTCTTTTGGCCTCCATGGACATTGTACACATTGTATACTTACATACATACAGGCAAAACTCATACCCATAAAAAATAAAAATTAAAGGTCAGGCATGGTAGTACGTGCTTTTAGTCCCAGCACTCAGGAGGCAGAGGCAGGCGGATCTCTGTAAGTTCAAGGCCAGACTGGTCTACATAGTGAGTTCCAGACCAGCTGGGGCTACAGGGAGACCCTGTCTCAAAAAGACCAAAAAAGAAAAATAGGCATTAAAAGAAAGAACAGTGACATTTTTGAAAGCAGATATCAGGAGAAGTTGGAAGTGTTGATAAGATGGCAGCTAAGATAGCGAAGATCTGTTTTTAAAAACTTAAAAAAAATTATTTTATGTGTATGCGTGTATTGCCTGCATGTAGCTAAGTGCACCCGTGTCGTGCAATGCCCACAGAGGTCAGAAGAGGCTGTCGGATCCCCTGGAACTGGAGTTACAGACAGTTGTTAGCTGCCATGTGGGTGCTGGGATTCGAACCCAGGTCTTCTGCAAGAAGAGTCAGTGTTCTTAACCGCTGAGCCATCTCTCCAGCCCTGAAGATTTTTTTTTTAAAGTTATATTACTTTTCCAGGCGTGGTGGCGCATGCCTTTAATCCCAGCACTTGGGAGGCAGAGGTAGGCGGATCTCTGTGAGTTCAAGGCCAGCCTGGTCTCTATAGTGAGTTCCAGGCCAGCTGGGGCTACAGGGAAACCCTGTCTCAAAAAGACCGAAAAAAAAGTTATATTGTTATATTACTTTATTAAAAGGGTCACTGTTCAAAGACATCATCACTGTCCAAGTTTTTTATAGATTTATTTTTTTAATTTATGAGCATATGAATGTGTCTGTATGTATATGCATATAAATGTTAGTGCCCAAGGAGGAGAGAAGAGGGCCTGAGATCTCCTGGAGTTGGAGTTATGGGCAGTTGTGAGCCTTCCAATGTGGACGCTGGGAATAGAACTCTGGTCCTCTGCAAGAACAGCAACTGCTCTTAACTACTGGCTGTCTCTCCAGCCCCTCAGAAGACATTTCTAATGCCTACTTTTGCTACCGGTAAACTGTTGCTTGAAAAAGAAGTTTAAAAGAAAAAAGACATTTTTGGCTGATGCTCCAAGTGATGTCTGTCTTCAGAGATGTCAGCACAGACACAACTAAAGAAGTCCTCGAATTCCATAACCTCAATGGAACAAAGATTGTTAGTGCAGAAAGAACTCTCGGTCTAGAGTAGCCTTGATCCACTTTATTACAGTAAAAAATAAAGAAGACAAATTCACATGGCGGACTAATAACCATAAATATGGTGTGTCTTCAGTTGCACACTGCTCTGTTATTTATGTACATTTTAGAAAACATTACTAGCACAGATGAATGAAGGTGATTATAAGTAATGTTTGTGGTTTTAACAGAGTTAGCCATGCTGTCCAAATCTTGCCTCGTGAGTCTGTGGAAACGTTAGACTCACTGGCATCCTCCTCATAGATGCCTCTGGACTGAAACCCTAGGGACAGGGAGTCTTCACAGATTTCTTGTACAATCTGGAGATATAAAATGTAGATGGGATGATGATTTATAGAGAGCTTAGCCCTGACCTACTGTGAGGAACCTTAGAAAGATGACTTCCTTTGGATCCCCAACAAAAGTTTCTCTTTGTGGCAGTTAAATACTGGTAGCATTTAGAGAGTGAACAGAGAACACAGAAATTACATATTCACTGTGACTTTAAAGAAAAGAATTAATTTTATACCAACAATATTCTAATATGTCACTTTAAATGCTTCAAAATCTCGGACACTGATTGAAAAGCAATTGCCCTCTAGTATTCCATTTTCTTTCTAGCAAAAACTAATTGCTCGTTTGGCCCCATAAGAGTTACAAATTTCAGCTCACAGTGTACCTTTAATTCTATGACTTTCTAGAATCAAGTAAGCAATGGCCTTCAAGACTGGCTTTAGCCCTTGATGATGAGGAAGCCACACGGTATGACCTTCAGATGGCAAAGGGGTGGAGGGCCACCTCCTGAGGAATTTTTCTCCTAAAGGAGTCTTCTTCCTGAAATGTTTCTATTTCTTTACAGATTCAGGAGGCCCCAGGCCAGCACTTCAAGCAAAGGAGTTCCCAGTTGTAGGCAGTAGCTGTGAAACAATCAGTGGCTGGCTTCAGTCTCTTAGGCCACTGAGGCTGTGCCTCCCGTCTTGAGGCGATTCCTGATGAAAGTCCCCAGAGCCACCAGGGGGATGCACATGGTAGATGAAGCCACCAGCAACCCTATGACAGCTAGTGCATATGGGGGGTAATCCTTGGTCACTAGCTGCCCCTGGAAGGAGAAACTGAGCATCAGGGGGAGGTCCTTCCTGCCAAGCTGAAGAGTATGAGCCAGACCTAGACTCCTGTGTAGGGGAAAAGCTGAACACTGAACAGAGACCTGTGGGCCCCCATGACTCTGTGGTACACTGCATGCCTGCAGGCAAACCACTTGGACCTTCTCTCTATACCATAAAGATAATCCTGAGTATTTCAACTCTGTGTGAGACTGTGAGAAGTGCCCATGAAGGCCATAGTATTAATCTAGTGTCTTACTCCGAGGCCCTTTCCAGGCCCTGTGTAAGACACCCTTTAGGACAGACTGGAACTTTCTGTGGTGGTGGAATGCTCTGTATAAATCTGTCCAGTGTACTGCCCTAGAGGAACCAGTACCAGGAACTTTCCTTATCATCCAGGGAAAGGCCCACAAGGACCTCTAGGGGAACAGACTGTTTCCACAGCAGCATGGCTGAAACTCACGGCCAGCTCTGCTACTTGAGCATCTGTGAAACACCTGGGTAAAGTCCTATGCTCCTGCCTGTAGCGTCTCCCCGAAGCAGCAATGATTCCTTGTGTCAGAAAACAGCCCCAGCCCTGCAGGGACATCAGGTACCTGAGTGGCATCCCAGGCTTGGTATTGCAGCGTCCCTGTGAGGATGTAGTCACTCAAGTAGAAAATAAAGAGGCCAACGATGAGCACAGGGCTCACGAAGGCCCACATAGCCTTCCAGTACCAGTTGAGAGCATGGCCAGTCATGACCTGAAGGTCACTTTCAAATCTGTTTGGACCATGGGAAGAGGAGAGAGTCTGGGTTATTCATGCTCTGGAGGGAAGGTCTCTATCTTTTATACCCTCTGCCCTTAGGAAGATCCTGTTCTGGCCATCTGTGATGTTTGAGTGTGACTCTGAACCCACCTGCTCCTTTCCTGGGGGAAGTGTTGAGGTGAACGGAGAAGGGCTGAGGCTGCTAGAGTGAAGTGACCAAGTAGGGGACCTGAAGGCATTTCCCTGGTGTCGGCTTTCAGAGGAAGGTCCCCTGGTGTGGACCAGAGGGTAGCTCTGAGAGACAGTGGGAACAGGGTATGGGGGTGGGGGTATCCATCCATTCTGTCCGCAGGGGTAGGGGTCCCTTGAGTGATACTCTCTTTGCCCAACTGCTGTCTATTAGTGATATTCCCCCTAAAGATGGCCCCAGAGCAGAGTCACCTTGTGCTTGGAAGGGCCTGGCCTTGGCATGGAAGAGCAGGTGGAGTGGAACAGGAGCAGAGCTTCCAGCCTGGAGCCCACAGACCACCCTCAGCATTTGCACCATACCACACACTGATGTTTTTTCTCTTACTTGGCTCGTCCCTAAACGTAGCAACAGCACTCACTACAGCACTCATTTACCATGGATTTCAGGGGCCAGCCATATGCTGTCCCACTACCCACACTGTGAGTTTTAAATGTGCTTCAGACTTATGGATGAGCTGGATCAAGCAACTTTCCATTTCTCTAGAGATAAGCCATAAGCCAGGGAAGTGATGGGACTTGGTGAAGGAAAGTCCAGGGCACTTGCCAGGTCATCCAGAGCTGGATGAGTCCCAGCCTCGGGGCAGGACCTTGAAATCTCCTCCCTAGGTAGGTGTGGCTGGAGTCAGATAAGAGACCATTGTCAGCAGTCAAGCCACCAGCACCTGCCCCCATGCATGTCTCTGCTCTAGCACCTGTCTGTCCTTCTGTGTCCACATGCAGCTGTGCAGAGCTTTGCCTGCTCTCTCTGCTGTTAAGTGAGATGGACTCTAGCTCCTGACCACAAGGATGCCTGTGTACAGTGAGAACCCCTGGAACCATCACATGACACAGGTGAGGAAGTGATGGGCACCTCTGGTTTTTTCCTCTTTCCACTGCTGGATAGAGAAAGGTGGTGGAGGGCTGGAGAGATGGCTCAGCAGTTAAGAGCATTGGCTGCTCTTGCAGAGAGTCCAGGTTGGGTTCCCAACACCCACATGGTGGCTAATAACCATATGTAACTCCAGTTCCAGGGGATTTGACATTCTCTTCTGACCTCCTCAGGCATTGCATGACACGGGTGCACCTACATACATGCAGGAAATACACTCATACACAAAATAACTTAAAAAAAAAAAAAGGTGATGGCGGTGCCTGCAGCAGAGGACACTAGATGGCACTGTCCCCACAATGAGGACAAGGCCCCTCCTGCCACTGTCTGGAATAAGCTTTTGACAGAACAGCAGGGCTTCCTGTGTTTCTCCTTCCTCATCACTTTCCACCATGCCCTGTGAGATACAAATTTGTCTCCTCTGCTCCGACACCCTCTCCGTGACTAATCCCTTTTCTCCTGCAGGCCAGCATTTCCTGGGTGACCGTTTGTCCCACTTTACATTGGGAAATGTAGAAACTTGGTTACCTTGTTTCTAGGGCCTTCAAAATGTCATTAGCTGAGGAGAGGAGAGGTTGACATTAGAAGAGGAGAGGTCGACAGCCCAAGCAGGTTTTGGGAATGGTACAAGTCACAATCCTTCTCTTAAGTTTCCCAGTGTCAAGGCTCTGTGTCTAGAGGAAAGACACCAGTCTGACTTTACCTAACTTATGTCCTAAGTAAGTTGGTCCCGGGAGATCCCTCAGCATGTGGGACCTTGGTGCTTCAAGAGACAGAGGCTTCCCAAGGGACCGCCTGTGTGCTGGAGTGTCATGGCTGGTCTTACCCATGCCCAAACCAGCTTAGATCATCAGAAAAGACAGAGGAAGAAGAAGTGATGGCATGGCACAGCTCTCTGACCCAAGTCACATTGGAGCAGCCCCTGTAGTGTGCCTCTGAACCCCCTTGCATGGCCTCACTCCCCGGGACTGGGTGGCCTGAGGTTCTGGACTACTCAAGGGCTCCTTGTTGCTGTTGGTAAGGGACAACTGGAAAAGCAACATTGTGAACTATTTTGTGTGTGTGGCCCCAGAACACTTAGGGATGTTCTAGAAATGCCAGCCATGATACTTTTTTCCAGACCATAGCCAGATAGCTAATGAATGAGGCTCAGTGGTCCCCATTTCATCAGCCCCCAGCTTGAAAGCTACCCCATTCTGGCCCCAGGTGCACACTCCACCATCACCCAGGAGACCTGAAACATCTCAGTGCTGGCCAGGGCACCAGGGTAGAAATCTGACCACATCTATAGGCCGAAGTTTGTTTTTGTTTTTGGTCTTTTTGAATACAGAGGCTGGCTTCGAACTCACAGAGATCCACCTGCCTCTGCCTCCCGAGTGTTGGGACTAGGGTTGTGATTCTGCTGGATGAGCAGAGATTCTAGTCCTGGAGGTGGAGTCCCTGCCCAGAAAGCCAAGGGTGCAGTAGGGCCACCAGAGAAGCTTGCCAGGATACAAAGGGAAAACAGGAAAGAGAAAGAAATTTGCAGGCTAACTGAGGAAGCAAGAGGCAGCTGAGCTCTAGCAAAGTAACAGCTGCAGCATCTCTAAGGGACATGCTCACTGAGCAAGGATGGCCCTGCATCTGATCTGCCCCCTGTAGCAGGCACGGGCTGGGCCTCCTCACCTCTTCAGCCCATACACGTAGCACACAGCGATGGTCTCCACCAGCACGATGAGCAGCAGGGACAGCGTAGCTGCGTAGTCGTTGAATATGTCAAACCAGTAGTTGCCGGCCTCCATGGTGAAGAGCATGCCGATGGCACAGTTGACGAGGCACACCAGACCTGGACACAGGAGTGCTGTTCACCTGCCTGAGCCTCCCTGCCAGTCACCCCAAGTTCTAAGGCAGCAGGAGCCACAGCAACCTAGCCAGTGGGTACCACCACATGGGCTGGAGGAGCTGCTCTGCAGGGGACATTAGCGCGGGAAAAATAACAGTGGTGACTGCACATGTAATTGGGCTGCACAAACCCACTCATAGGAAGGATGCCAAGTTCTGGGATGATCTGAGAAAAGGAGCAGGGCAGCTCCCACTGGGTGGTCAGAACATGATCAGACAGAGCTGTGTTTCACACACCCTGGATGTAGAGTCATGGAGCCATCTGAGGCAGAGATCGCTCCCTACAGGGTCCTCATGACCCTGGTTGGGTGGGATGGTGGTGGAGTTAAAATGGGCGGTCATCCTGAGAAGGGCTGGTTCCTTCACTGACTCCTGAAGGTCAGCATAATGCATGAAGAAGTGGTAAGGTTCTAACAGTGGAGTATTTGACAGGACCAGGGACTGACAATTGCTGCTGGCAACTACTTGGTGGAAGACAGATTGTGAGTGAAGACAGCATGCCCAGATCGTGTCCTCTATGACTTCATCAATAACCAGGTCAAGAGGGAAGCAGACTAAAACTAGTAGCATTAGATGTCAGAAGAGGGGAGATCTGTTAGGATGCTTATTGCCTAGAGAGGGTGTGAAGGAGCTTCTTGGGGTGTGGGAACAGGTCATTGCACTCGCCTTAGGAAATGCACAGTTCATGATTGTGGCTCTTCAGTTAAAACAAAAAGAAACATGGGCCCTCAACCTGGAGAGAGCTTTGTATGCCTGGGGAGCTGGCCTTTTCCCAAGGCTAGGATGACTGCCTCACTTCCCTGGGATGTGATGAGTTCTTGGGCACATCCCAGGATTAAGGAGTGCACTGGAGCAGGTGCACAGCTAGTCTGCAGCCCCTCTCAGTTATCTTAATGCAGGTGGCTCCTGAGGAAACCCATCCACTGATTACCTTGCATGTCCCTGCCTACTCCTGTCCCGCCTCCTCTGTTTGGTGTTCCTCTGACCTGAGATAGCCTCCTTGGGCAGGTAGCTGGAGATGACCTTGCTGTCAGTCAGAGGGGTGAGGATGGCCGCTGTGTTTCCGAGCATGCTCCCCATTCCCAGCATCAGCAGCATGAAGAAGTAGAGCACCGACCACAGCTGGGACACCTCCATGTTTTTAATGGCCTCAGTGTAGACAATGAAGGCCAGGCCCGTGCCCTGGACGGCCTGTCCATGGTGAGAAGATACCAGTTACACACCTGAGCCAAGGAAGACCAGAGGCGAATGTTGTAGTTTGAATGTGAAATAGGCTAATGTGTTTTAACAGTATTTCTCCAACTGTTGCACTTCTGGCGACAGAGATTCTCAGCCACATGAGCCTACCATCATGAATTCTGCCATGCCTTTCCCTCCATGATAGACTGACCCCTTTCATGCTCAGAGGCAAAATAATCCTTTCCTCCCTTTACTTTCTTCTTGTCAGATATTTGGTCACAGCAACAAAAAGGAAATTAATACTCTTGAACTAATAAAAAATATGGGTCAGCTCAGTGGCATATTTTGAAGCACAGTGGGGATAGTTAGCTTTAAGAACCAACACTAAAGGTATAAGCTTGTGGAAAATTTAAAATGATAGTAAAATATTACTAAGCATTGATTAGAATATTCCTCTGGATTGGGGTGGTTTGATCTCATTCCCCTGCCTCTGACTACCACTGGAACACCATGTCACAGATAATAATTGGAATAAATAATAACTCTGAAAAAGAAGGTTATAAATAGGAGTGGGCATGGAGTTGGGGGGTGCGAACCCTAAGGGTTCAAACCCTGGGGTGCAGTGAGTCCTTGAGGGGCCCTGTGCCTCCGAGTCTGAGTGCAGCAGTGGACAGGGTCCCAGTGGGGGAAGAAAGAAATTTCAACCTCTTGGAATATATGGTAGAGTTCAAGAAGAAGACAACAGCCAAGGTCATCTGAAATTGTGACTGGCTCACACTGATAGTCCCAGGAAAAAAAATTAGACATCACAACTTGAGCAGAAGAGATGCTCGCTATAAAGGCTTGGGCTGAATACACTGTGGGTGGGCTGCCAACGACCCGTGTGGCTTCCTTACCACAGTTGTTTTGGCCCTCACTCCGCTGTTCCTAGCTAGTGCTGTTCTGTCCTGGAAGTTGGCCAAGATGATTGAAACCAGGAGAAAGAACAAAAGAAGAGACAAAAATGCCAAGAAACTATTTCAAAAGCTAAACAACTGAAAAAGGATTGAAGGAATAAACGGACTCTGCAACCAGAGAGAAATTATTTGGAAAATTATGCAGCTTTGGAAGGATTCAACTAAAGTTTCATTTGATTTCATGATAGTATTATTGGTAATTTAAATCTGGCCCTAGAGAAAAATCATGTCCCGACCTCAGTACTGAGTAATTTTAGGCTTGGAAATAGAAGGTTTTGGATATCTACTGTCGGACATTATAAATTAGCATCTACTATGCAGGTGGAGCGTCCCTAAATTCAAAACCCACAATGCTGTAAAATCTGGCAGACACGATGCCAAGAGTGCAAAGTTCCACACCGACGTTTTGATGGGATGTAGTCAAAATACGGGTGCACTAAAATATATGAAATGACTTTCAAGCTATATCACATGTAAATGAATTTTGTGTTTAGACTTGGATCCCATCCTCAAGGTATTATGCAAACACTCTAAAACCTGAAAAGTAAGCGTTTTTGTACACTTGGTCTGTAGTGAAAACATGACTGACAGTTGTTCACCGCTTTGGAGCTCGCGTACTCAAGTGGAAAACATCCTGCGGAGAAAAATGGCTTTTGATTATGAGTCCTATTCAAACGGTGGTTTAAAATGGGGTTCATATCTGGACAGAGGGTATTAGGAAGGTAAAAGAATTATTCTCTGAGGTGAAAAGTTTACCTCAGTTTGAAAGATACAGTATATTAATCACAATTTAAAAATCATTATTGCTTATTTCTTGAAATAAAGCATTTCTGACTTTCTCAAAGGAAATATCAATGGGTATGTTTATTTGCATTTTTCTTATTTTAGCCTTTGAGACAACGGGTAATTATGAAGACATTCTGCATTTTTAAACCTAATTTTATAAAGGATTCTCAATATCTTGACCATGGATAGGCTAATTTTCATACTTCTGAAAACTGCCATTTTCTTAGAGGAGTTAAGAAGAGTAACATGATCTTCTTGTCATGGACGTGCCAAGTGCTGTTGGTACCGTGGAATCAGTTCTTACGCTGACTAGAACTGTGGAGTAGTTACATGTCTTATCAAATAGTTTACTGATCACATAAATGCTACTTTTGTTTTTAACTAATATGGTAGTGGTGCCCTGTTAATTTTTACTCATACAGATTCAAAGACACCATCCACAATAGCTACGTGTGTGTGTGTGTGTGTGTGTGTGTGTGTGTGTGTGTGTGTAGATATGTCAAGACATTTCATGAAGAAAATTAGCCAATAAATAGAAAGACCTGTATGAATGAAAGGAAGCATGCTATTGAGTCCAAACCCACGCAGGAGACCTGAAGATGGAGGAACAGAGGTGAACAACACTTTTGCATCCTCACAAAGTTGAAAGAAAACATCTGATGTACTGAAAAGTGAGGTGAGAACAGTGGGATGGCAAGAGAGAGCCACAGTCAGCAACAGAGTGTGAGAAAATATAAAATCCAGAAATACTGAATGCTAGATTTATAAAGGACAGACAGGCTCCAACTTAGAGGACAGATCAGAGAAGCAGGGAAAGGAGGGACTCTCACTCTGGGGTCACAAACAGAAGAGAGGTGACGGTCCCCAGAAGCAAACTGTGGAAACAGAACCTTGGAGGGGAGATTTGTGTTGCCCTGTGAGGTAGATACTTGGGATTTGCTGATGCCTGAGTCTCCTTTCCTGCCTAGCTGGGATGAAGAAGGGAGCTGTTTCTGGGAGGGAGCCCATTGCCAAAGTACTCTGCCAGGAGAACAGAAAATTCAGAACTGCTACCCAGGGGTCCCACATCCTCCATCAAGCTATGACCCTGACAACCACATAAACACCAGGGGTGCACTGAAGCTGACACAGACTCAGACAAATATACTCAGAACTGAGGCTCATTGATGGAAAAGCAGCTGGGTCCTGGTGGAAGGAGAGCACCCAGCAGTAAAGGTGAATGTATGTGTGGGAGTCCCCATCCCCCAGAGCCTCAGACATGGAAAATGTCTAAATATTTTTTTTTGCTCTATTGACTGTTTCCTTTGCTACACAGGAAGTTCTATCTTTAATAAGATTATTTCTATAATCCTACTTGTTTATTTGTATTTTGTTGTCAGTACTTTTTTGGGTCTTATTCAAAGCATTTTTATACAAACCAATGTTTCAAGAGTTTCCTCTTAGTGTTCTCATAGTTTTAGGCCTTACATTTAGGTCTTTGATTCATTTTGAACTGGATTTTTTTTGCAGGATGAGAGATGGGGAGCTAGCATCATTTATTGAAGAGACTACCTTTTCTCCAATGTGTTCTCTTGGCACCTTTGTCAAAAAGCTGTGAAGACATGGGTGGCTTCTGGGCTCTCTCTTGTGTTCTACTTGTCTTTTTCGTGCCAGTACCATGTTATCTTGCTTAGAACTTTGCAGAATGTCTTGAAGTCAGGTATCATTATGTCTTCAGATTTTTTTTTTTTACTCGGAGTTACTCTGGCTATTCTGAGCCTTCCAAGGTTCCATGAAAATTCTGGGATACTTTTTTTTTCTATTTCTATTAATATTATTGGTATTTTGATGAGGGTTTCATTGAATCTGTAGATTACTTTGAATAATATGGACATCTAAACAATAATAACTCTTCTGATCCCTGAACATAGGAAAAATTTCCTTTCTTGTTACATATTGAACTTCCTTTCTTTTAAATTTTGTTATTATTATGGTCAGCCCTGACTAGTCTGGAACTCACTATGTAGACTAGGCTGACCTCAGTTTCACAGAGATCTACCTGCCTCTGCCTCTAGAGTGTTGGGATTAAATGTGTGTGCCACCACGTCTGGCTGTATATTAAACTTTTCATGAGTGTTTCATATTTTCATATTGTAGAGATCTTTCATTTCCTTAATTCCATTTATTTAGAGCTCCATAATAAAGAGCTCAATTTAAAATTAGACAAATAGTCTGCATAGACATTTCTTAAAAGGAGGCACACACATGGCCAGCAACTATAAGAACAAAAAAATGCAATATTAGTAATCTTCAAGGAAATGAAAATTCACAGTCAGATATTATCTCAAAGGAAATGAAATTGTTGTATCAAGGAAATAACCATACTGTTATGTTTATTGCAATACTTTAAAATACCCAGGATTTGAAAACAACCATGGAGGGTGAACAGATACAGAGCATGTGGTATAAATCCACAAAGGAGTATGAGTCAACCACAAAGAGAATGAACTCCTCCTGTCATTGTGTCATGGTGAACAGAAGGGCAGGCACTGTGTAAAAAGACCAATGCTGCACTTTCTCACTCATTTGTGGAAATTGGAAAATGAATCTCAAAGAAGATGAGAAAGGTGTTAGGGAAGATAGAAAGGAGTTAGGTGAGAGACAACAAAATGCAGTTAGAAGCAGCCCCAGCACTGTGGGGCGACCTAATCTACAAAAATCCATAGTATCTAAATAACCAGAAGAGTCCAGAGGTTTCCAACACAGAAAAATAATGATGGCCTGATTTGCTTGTTATAGATTGCATACTTTCATCAAATTACCATACGTTACACCATAAGTACACAAATAGTGTATCAATAAAATACATTAAGATATATACGGGTACAATAATGTAAGACTCATCTCCTGTTAGTGGGATAAACTTAGGACTACTTACAGGAACCTTTAAATGTGTGTCTGAAAAAAAAATCTTTTGTTCTATACAAAGAAATCTAAACACTAAATGATAAAAATATTGCTGTGTTCAATTGAGATGCAAATTGTGTGTGTGTGTGTGTGTGTGTGTGTGTGAGAGAGAGAGAGAGAGAGAGAGAGAGAGAGAATGTTATCCCCTGCCTTTCCCGTGTTATTAAAACTCCAAAGGAAAAGAGAAAAAGGAAAGAACTCAGAGAATCCAAGAGAGTTTTCTAGTGAGGAGGATTCCAAGTTGCACCCAGTGGAGCTGGAGTCCAGTGTCTCTTCTCTAGGTTGCAGAGCAAACAACCCAGTTTCTCATCTTCACAGACTGTGCAGAGGCTGTGACAGGTGCCTACGAGCTGTGTGGAGAGAAGTGGTCCCGGCCCTACCCAGGCCCCTTACCGTGTTCAGCTCTGATTCCAGGCTGCAGTTTCTGATGTGTGGGAACACCTCGCTGTACTTGCTCGGGTAGGTAGACGCCAGGTAGTCCTTCACCTCCTCCAGGTTGCTGGCTGTCAAAAAGCCATCTTCAAGGTCAAAAGAATTGGTCAGCAGCAGAATCACCCTGCAGAGCAGACCACCAGCTTGATCTTCATGACTAGAGAGGCCTCTGGCCCCAAAGCCTCAGGGAAAGTGTGGGCGCTGGGCTGCTCTGTCTCCTCTTCCCTCCTGCCCAGTGAGGTGAGGGACTCTAGACTGATGATCCTGCAACTCTGAATGTCTATGAAGAAGCCTCAGATCTGAGCAGAGATGAGGACAGGGACCACTCCCCCACAATGAGGCTGTTAAATATCTGGGCCAGTGACAGGATGGAATGGGGTGGAATGGTGTACGTGTTCTATACTTATGACCGGTTTAGTACGAGCCATAGGTGGTGACAGAGCACTTGAATGTGGCTAGTGCCACTGGGGAACTGATTAAAAGTAAATTGGGAGGCTGGGCGTGGTGGCGCATGCCTGTAGTCCCAGCACTGGGGAGGTAGAGGCAGGAGGATCTCTGTGAGTTCAAGCCCAGCCTGGTCTATAGTGAGTTCCAGGCCAGCTGGGGCTACAGGGAAACCCTGTTTCAAAAGACCAAAAAAAAAAAAAAAAAAAAAAACCCACAAAACAAACAAACAAAAAAACCCCCAAAACCCCCCATACAAACAAAAAACCAAAACACAAAAACAAAAGTAAATTGGAAATCATTAAAATTTAAATTCATATCAGTATGCAAGTTAACTACCCTGCTGAACATCTTAGCTTCCAGAAGGTGGTCCTATGCTTCGAGGAGGAGTCACATACATAAATTGTGTAACTTCTGTGGCTTGACTAAAGAGGTGTTGGTTACACTTGAGATGAGAAATGGGATAGGAAACAGTGGAGTCGTTTGCTGAAAGCCCTGTCCTTCAGGCTAAGTGCCCTCAACGCTTAAACTGCCCTTTCCCTGTGAGGCAAGCCTTGACTGCATGGCCTCTCAGTTTCTGGTGGAAGGCAGCCATTGGTTAGGTGAGAAAAGAGAGTTGATCCTTGTACTGTAGACATCAACTTGAGTGTTGGCTTCTGTGAATCCAGCCTTTCCCAGTCACCTTTTCAGAGTTTGAGGGACTTGTCCCCATCCCCCCAACCCCGCCCCCTGCCTTAAGGCCCAGGGCTCTGAAGGACAGACTAGACTCACTTGTTTAAGCAGTTTTCATAGTTGAAGGTGGCCTTGAAGCCATAGATGGAGAAGGTCACAATGCTGGCAAATATGGAGGTGGAGCTGTTGATGATGGACACAATGATGGCATGCTTCTGGCAGTTGTTGGAGGGTTCGTTGTAGCTGGCAAAGGCAATCAGGCTACCAAACCCTAAGCCCAGTGAGAAGAAGATCTGTGTGGCTGCATTGATCCAGGCCTTGGGGTTGGCCAGCTGCTCCATCTGGAAGGCCAGCAGGGATAGGGCTGAGGAATCCTGGGCCCCATTCCCAAATCTTCCCTCCCAGAAGTGGGAGGCCCACAGAGGGGTTGGAAATTACCTCCAGGCCACAGGTAGTCATGGCAGCCTGGGGCTGGAGTCCAGCTCTCCTGCTTTGGCCTATGTCCAGTGTATTCCCTGGCAGGCAAACCACTTGGCAATCCTCATGTAATACCCTCTATGGCACCTTACCATGGAAAGTGAAATTGAATATTGTAGGGTCAAATAGTAAAACAAAAACAAAAACCAACAAAAAAACATATGGAGCCTTTGATTAACCAGCCAGGTACTACACAGGTCTGGATATGCAGAGATATATGTGACATGACCTGGATATTCAAGTCACATTGTAGGTCACTCCAGCACTGATACTGAAGGCATTTGGAATGTGTGGCACATTTTGGGGGTGGGGGGATGCTCCAGTAATCTGTTTCTAGGCATGAGATTTGCTAAGTAAAGAATGTGCCCTATGTCCATTGAAGAGTGCTGGCTGCAGGGTGCCTGGAGGAGGTTACAAAAGGGATCATGGTAACCTGGAGGGAAAGGGTTTAAGGAAACATGAGAACAGATGAGGAAGATCACTGGAGTGACAGCCATGGTCACCAGCTCATTGGAGAGTCTGGACAGGGCTTTGGGTGAGACCAGGTACAGGGAAGCCAGAAGGGAGGCACAGGCACCAGTTATCAGTGTCAGTGAGGCAGCCATAAAGGCTAGATAGAGGGTTTAACGTCTTAAAATGCACAGGGATGTCTGAGAAGGAAGTCCAGGCCTGCAGGGCATCTGGACTCTGACACAATCTTAGGTTCACGCCAGCCTCCATGATTACAGATTTTCCTCCCTCTTTGTCCTTCCCAGATGTCCCAGTGGTGGGCATCCTCAGGGTCTCTCCCTTGCAGCCCATACCTTTGGCGTGAACATGTACACCAGGCCATTGGTGGCTCCATGGAGTGTAAGGCCACGGATCAGGTAGATGAGGAGCACACAGTAGGGCAGTGATGCAGTGAAATAGACCACCTGTGGGAACAGAGAGCCTGTTGGAAAGGTAGGGACAGCAGGGCAGACCCCTCTTCCCACAAACACCTCACTTTGGTGTTTAGGCTGCACCCATAGCTGCTGAGAGCTGGAAGTGGGATTGATCCTGAGTAGGAGGCAGGGTCTGAATTTGGTCTAGAGAAATGCACTGTGGGACATGACTGCCCATGTCTGTCGCCATTAGGAAATCTCTTCTTTAGTGGAGAAGAGACAACAGTTACCCAGATTCTTCCCTCCACACTCCTGCCAGACCCTGTGTCTCCAGAAAGGACTGGAGGAGGCCTACATAATATTATGTGAGTCTGTGTTCACTGTTTGAGCCAAATTTGGCTCTGAGTTTCCTGGTGACCTGAGCAACGCAGAAAATGCAACCACTTAAAAGAGCTAGATTGTCTCTAAAAAGAAAATGAATTTAGTGGCTTAGGGAAGAACAGGCTTTCCAGGACTGGGATTTGAAAGAAGCCTGGCTAGGCATGCCCATGGATGGAAGGCAGTGTAGGGAACAAAGTCCCCACAATAAATGGAATGGAAAGTCCCTGATGGGACTTTATGGCAACCCTCATGAAAAGCTTTACTTCCTTGTGCTTGAAATAAATGGCATATTTGGTCAAGCCAATCGTCTCTCCAGTTGACATGCATCTCAGACTTGGGGTCATCCTGACTTTTGCAAAGTCTCAAGGTAGACTTTCAGGTGCATGTCTGCCCAAAATGGATAGGAAATTTTATGCAAATCACTTCCTGTATACACCAGAGATTCATAGGTAAAGGAAAAAATATTCAGCAAGGTTGTTTTTATGTATGAATCCTCTTTTAGGGTGGTCTGCCCAAAGAAACACAGCTGGTAACCCAGGTACTAATGCTTGAATTATGCGCAGTCCTCGGTTTCCTCTGTAGTGTGGTACTATCTTTACATGAATTTCCAAGACTGCTAGAGTGACACTGTGTCATCTCACTAGGGGAAACTGGATAGAATGTGGGGAATGTCTGTTACCATGGCTTCTTAGCTGAGATCATTTTAAATTCAGGGACTAACAAACCCACCCAAGTTTCTAAGACATCAAACCAGGTAGAGACACAGATGAACAAGAAGCCTCTGGTCACTGATATGAAGGAACTTCAGGGACATAGAAGAGGGCTGACCCAGGTCCATAAAGCTGGGCACTTAGAGGGCAATTAGAGGACTCTCAGGGTGAGTGCTAGAATTTTCTTCCTGCTCCTCCCATTCAGTGGGCCATGTTTCCCATAGGCTCTCTGGAGTCTCCAGGTACAGTAGCTCTCTTTTCTCCCAAGGTGGGTAGGGCAGATGACCATGTGATCCAGCCTAACCTTCTAGGAGAAACCACTTCTGACCAATGAGCAAAACTTCAGAAGAAAGAAAGGCGATTTCAATAGAGAAGGAAAAGGCAGCACACTCTTCAAGATGAGGATCAATAAGTTGCCATGGCCAGACACTGCTGTATCTCATAGTTACAAGACCTGGACAGGGACAGTCTGCTTTAATCTCCAAGGGCACAGACAGTGCCCTCAGATCTTCTGGATCATACTTCAGCTGGGGTATGACAGAGCAGGTGCTACAGGGTCTGAGCTTAGCTGAGAAGGAGAACCCGGGTTCTCTCTTCTTCTGCTCAGCTATAGGGCAAGGTGCTTTGGGGAGAAGACACTGGCTACTATAGGGAACTGGAAACCAATATAGTATCTCTCCAGGCACGATACTGGGGCCGTCATGCAGTACTTGGATACCATGGTTATTCTGAACTGATGCCTCATGAAAAACATGTCAGTGCTAGAGAACTCAGCCCAAGAGACCAAGGAGAGGACCAGAGACTCTTGGGACTCTCGACAGAGGAGAACTGGAAGTGACTAAGTCACAAAAGACACGCAGAGAACACCCATGAGGCAGGTCACCAAGCCGAGATGATGGGAAGTCCTTGGGGTAAAGCTGGTCTCTGTTCTGATTCTGCTGTCCCTGGCTGTGACCTTAGGTGTGTGGTCCACTGTGGATTTGCTTTGCAGAGTGGCTGAGTATGGGGCATGTACTACAGCCTGAGACAGGTGCAGGTGATGGAAACACAGAGGACATGCCAGCCCTGGGAAGAGTGGAAACCTGGCTCTGCAGCAGGGAGAAAATGGTTAGGAAGATCAAGTCTAAGCTAAGCATGGTGGCACAGCCTTGGTCTGAAATCCCAGCACTCAGAAGGCTGAGGGAGGAGGACCACCCGATTTTGAGGACAGCGTGGACTATAGAGTGAGTTTCAGGCCAACCTGGGCTACATAAGGAAAGCACTTTGACACGGGGCTCCAAGCCCAACTGCATAATAGAGTCACAGGGAACTGGCTCTATTTCCCCATGTTCAGGTCACTCCCCAGAATAATGGCTTTGACATTTGGGGAGGACTGAATTGTCAGATGTTTAAAGTTCTCCATGAAATGCACTGGTATGGTTGAGTTTGAGAACTGGGGCATCTCATTTCAGATTCAGGGTTGCAATTTCAACCACCTCAGATGATCTTTACTGTCACCTAGTAGATGAACTGTGCCAATAACATCACCCATGCCTTCTGTCCCAGTAAGCCTCTCCTTCTCAACTGCAGGAAACAACCCCTAGCACCAACCAAGGCTATGGCTGTGGCGCTGCCCCCCCCCACCTGCCCACCTGTCACTGTGCAACACCATCACGCTACCCTGACCCACCTTGCCAGTTGACTCGGTGCCCCGCAGGATACACAGATACACCATTAGCCAGGCCAGGGTGAGGCACAGAGCTGGCTCCCACTGCACACCTCCATTCTCCTGGATGGACGGTGAGATGTTGAGCGTTTTCCTGTACCAGAAGTACTGCGTGGATGAAGCCCTCTCACACTCTTCGTCATAGCCCGTGCGGTTGCCATTCAGTGGGCAGACAGACCACGGCAGGGGATCCTTTGGATTAAGTGAGAATTGAGAGAGGTGAGGGGAAGGCCAAGGGCTGGGTATGACAATGGAAGTGGTCTTGAAAGGCGGCTTTATACCCTGTCCTGTACATACAGGTTGACCTGGCTTGCTTTAAGTGACAGAGGACTGAGGCACAGAGCTGGCTCCCACTGCACACCTCCATTCTCCTGGATGGACGGTGAGATGTTGAGCGTTTTCCTGTACCAGAAGTACTGCGTGGATGAAGCCCTCTCACACTCTTCGTCATAGCCCGTGCGGTTGCCATTCAGTGGGCAGACAGACCACGGCAGGGGATCCTTTGGATTAAGTGAGAATTGAGAGAGGTGAGGGGAAGGCCAAGGGCTGGGTATGACAATGGAAGTGGTCTTGAAAGGAGGCTTTATACCCTGTCCTGTACGTACAGGTTGACCTGGCTTGCTTTAAGTGACAGAGGATGGTGGAAAGTTGGCTTTCTGGCCTAGACCTTTAAGGTCCTCATTGGCTACCCTGTGGCCTTGTCATGTGAAGCTACTTGGGTAAGACTCTTGGAATGGTGAGGCTATCTAGATGGAGAAGTCATAGGAAGAAGGCATTGGTGACTAGTCATAACCGGCACCAAGTGTCCCAGCCAGGTGACAGAGGTCCTTCTAGACTTGAAGCTCATTTCCTTTGTCCAGCTAACCGTGTATTTTCTGGACCTTCTGCTGAGGCTTCTCTAACCCACCCTGGCTCACACATTTGGCTTTATGACTGAGTCGCCCTGGAGTTGGATGCCTTGGCTCCACTCAGGGTGTCTGGTATCTTTTGCTTGGGTGAGTTGGGCATCAGTTTTTTAATGTTCCTGCTAGGTGCAACCTGAGTGAAGAACTGGTTCAATGGAACAATCGACAGTTATCCTCTCTACTCAACTGCATCAGCATGTAAGGACAGAGTCCTTGTATCTGCTTAGCTGGAGATACTGGCTGAGAAAGGCTCCCCCTAGGCCGAGTCCCTGGGAAGTAAGTGGCTTGTTGTCTGTGGGACTGACATAGCTCTCAGCTGGGATGACTACGAGTGAAGACTTCTATGTGCTGGGGACACACCTGGCCAGAGCGAGTGTAAGAGAGGGCCTGCTATGGCAATTACCATCATTAGCAAGTGACATTGGAAGGGGCTCAAAGCAGAGGGTAAGAAGAAGTCTACCAACCTACGACAAGTGGACCCTATTCGTATTCAACTAGTACTTCCTTGTTCTTCCTCTTTTCCCATCTGGGAAGAGGTTGAGATGGAGGCAGTAGATGTGGGGAGATTGGGAGTAGGGTCTCTGAGAGTAAAAAGGCTGAAGATAGAGAGAACAGCATATGAGTGGTAGAGAGAAATCCCTTAATTTCATACAAAGACTAGATCTTGATGTGGAATTTATCCCTTTCCAGATTTTCTGCAGTGAATATCAGTGACAGGATTTGGATAATACACTGTTTAAAATGTTTGTCATTGGGCTGGAGAGATGGCTTAGCAGTTAAGAGCATGTATTGGTCTTGCAGAAGACCTGAGTTCAAGTCCCAGCATCTACATTGGGCAGCTCACAACCACCTGCAACTCTAGCCCCAAGGGATCCAACGCTGGTCTCTGGGGCTGCTACTGTGCACAAACCCACATACACACACACATATATACATAATTGAAAACTAAAATAAAAAACTCTTTTAAAAATGTCATTAAGAAGGGCTGGAGAGATGGCTCAGTGGTTAAGAGCACTGACTGCTCTTACAGAGGACCCGGGTTCGATTCCCAGTGCCCACAAGGCAGCTATAAACTGTCCTCCACACACACATAGGGCTGCTACTGTGCACAAACCCACATACACACACACATATATACATAATTAAAACTAAAATAAAAAACTCTTTTAAAAATGTCATTGAGAAGGGCTGGAGAGATGGCTCAGTGGTTAAGAGCACTGACTGCTCTTACAGAGGACCCGGGTTCGATTCCCAGTGCCCACAAGGCAGCTATAAACTGTCCTTAACTCCAGTTCCAGGGGTATCTGAAGCTCTCTTCTGACCTCCGTGGTATTGCACAACATGGGTGCACTCACATACATGCTGGCAATACACTCATATACATAAAATAAAAATAATAAAATATTTTTAAAAATGTCATTGAGAATAGCTCTTATAATGTTAAAGGGTGGCAGTGATCCTTCTGGGAGAATTTTTGGGGTCTTCAGGGAAAAGGAAGACTCAGCCTAGAGCCAGAAACCTGAAAGGACAAGTGAAGGAGGGAGGGGGTGGGGACAGGCAGGAGAGGAATAGCCACTGCAGACTTGCTGGGATGGAGAAGTCACCCCCATCAGTTCTTGCCACAGATATTCTCCCGAGTCTGTCATGAGATGGTTTGTAACTTTGGGGACATATCTTACAGAGACTCCAATGAGAGCTGTGGATCTGCTCCCCACAAATGTGCACATACACACAATTGCATAGTGTGGCTTGCAATGTGATGAGTTGTGGCTCCAGATTCTGATTTCCTCTCCTTGGTCTGAGATGTGTGGCTTCCCCTAGTACCTGCACTCCCTAACTGGCTCCCAGAAGCTAGTGTTCTCATTCTCTACCAACATCCCCAGGTGAGTGGTCCTGCATCCTCTACTGTTCTTGCTTCTGTTCTGGCCAGAACTTGGCTCACCTGGAAGGAGTGGAAGAGGTACCAGAAGCCCCAGGCATTGATGACGTTGTAATACATGGAGAGGAAGAAGGACACCACCACACTAGCAACACCTGTGAGCAAACAGAGGGCTGTGCTGAGGGCCAGGTGTGTATGACCTGACCAGTAGATACTCAAGTGACAGAACTATGCAGATCGCCTGGGACACAAACACTTTGTCTTCATGTTTTTATTAGACCTGACCTTACACCTGTCACCTCTGTCTGAGGGTTCTTCTCTCTAACCTCTCATCATATGAGATAGGAAGCTGATGACAGTTTTTTTTTTTTTAACATTTATGGGCCAGGTCCTGGGCTCAGTATTTCATGTGTCTTTGGTCTTCACAACAGTATTGCTCCCATTTCACAGAGCAAACTGAAGCACAGAGCTTGCTCCAAACTCCAAACCACCCAGTAGCACTAAGGGGAAGTTCCACCCATATGCCTAATATGACAATTGCTCCCTTTAGAAGTTAAGTCACTGGGGCCAACTCCATCCATGTAGCATCAAGGGGACAGAGGAATTTCAGGAGTGTGAGGTGTGGAAGGGGTGAACCCTTTTGATACATGAGGCTTTGGTCAGACATACGAGGTTCCCACAATGGCACTGTGGACAAAGAGAAGAGTATGCCACTAGGTTGCTCTGGAGTGGGCTCACACTGGACCTCAGGAGCACTGTCCCCAGCTCTTCCCAACCCACGTGTACTTAGGACAGTTCTAAATTGTTAATCTTGGCTGTGGTGGAGTGTACCAGTATCAGTGTCATTACACGGCAGACCCCTCTGCCCTACTGGGAGTGCTGGCCAGTAAATGCATGTTAATGTCCCAGGGGCCAGGCAGCTGATCCTGTCTTTCCTATGTGGAACACAAGTTACCTTTGGTAAGCCTTCTGCTATTGCAACCTCAGCACACTCTGTGATGATCTTCACAGCTCTTCAGAGTGAGCAGGCAGTTTGGTGATGACTCCTGAGGCCCCTGACACATTTCTCAACTGCATCAGGACATACCAAACTGATCCTTCTTTGTTCCTGAACTCTGTCTCTCTGCCTGCTTCCCTTTCTGGGATAGGAAGGTGCACAAAACAACCATGGCCACTGAAGGAACTGGATCCTGGGCATTTACAGAGCAGATGAGCTGTGTTTCAAACTAGGACCAGGTCACTCTGGAAAGATCTGATGGGAAGCAAGCCCACTTGGTATGCCCAGGGGCCTTGGCTTCCACACACTGGCAACATTGATGGTGACTCACAGCCCCTGAGTGGTGTGGTGGTGATGAAATGAGCTCACGCACTTGCATGCCAAATCAGAACCAGGCACATATTAACAGGGAGTAGCTGTGTGTCCCCAGATAGTGGCTGACTGGGACTGAATGAGCACTCCTGTGGCAGCCAGCTATGTCCAACTTTCTACCGACTCCCAAGCTGAGGCTCACAGAGGAGATGCCCTATGGTAGGAGTTTCCCTGGGGGCTGCCTGTGGGGGTCAGAATCCAGGTCCCTCTCTACCCAAGTACCATAGCAGCCCTTCCTGAGCTATTGGTCTACCCAGTCCTGCTCATGAAGGGTCACCCACACACCTGTGATGCCCAGGGGACACTCAGATCTCTGGCAGGGGGAAAGGATTCCACATACCAACACCGCTGAGGTAGGGGCTGATGGTCCTCCAGGCACCGATGCTTCCCTGCCTCATGCGCTGCCCCACAGCCAGCTCCAGGTACAAGAGTGGCATCCCTTCCACGATGAGCATGATGATGTAGGGGACCAGGAAACTCCCTGTAGGAGGCCAGAGCTGAGTACCAGGCCAGTGTCGACAGATGGGCCTTACCTGCCCCCACTTCTGTGCACTGGCCCTCCTATCAGCCTGCCTTTCCACCATCCAGTCCTCCTTCCTCCTCATCCATCCACCCTCCAATGTTTCCACTCGGCCTTCATTCTTCTACCTGTATGTATTCCACCTTCTACATGTCCATCCCTCTGTCATTCCTCGCCTCATTTATCTGACACCTGTCTGACTGTCTGTCCAAGCATCTGACCATCCATCCATCCACCTTTCTTTCTTTCCATCTGTCCCTCCATCTGTCTACCTACTCACTATTAACCATCCAAGTAAAGGCTATGTTCCCACAAGCTGCGTGGATCAACAGTCCAATCCTCAGAGGTTATAAAATAATCTCATTTTTACTCAAAATGTCAAACAGTAACCACAGTAGGCCTGGTGAGGTCCATGGTCAGCTTGTCTCTGTGACAGGACCTGTTTACTTGACTGCTGACTGAATCAGGTGGAAATCCAAGGCCTGGTGACATGGTGGGAGTATGGGTGCCTTTAGCTCTGCCCAGCAATCATTTCCATCACTCCCCCAGCCATAATAATACACAGTTCAGACAAATGAGATCTACAGTCTTTTTGTCAAGAAAATGACACTAGCACAACTGAAAATTCATGCACAGATAAATTAAATGCAATCAATAATATACATTTTATACAAAAATATGAAAATGGATCATAGGCCAGAACTATGAAACTTAAAGAAGAAACAGGAGAAAATCTTAATAACCTCAGGTTAGGCAAAGACATCTTAGATACAAAGCTAAAATCACCATCTATGGAAGAAAACTCTGATAAATTGAATTGCCTTACATTTGCTCCTTAGAGGACACTTAAGAGAGTAAAATAACAAACTACAAACTTGGACAAAATTATGTCCAAACACATATCTGAGAACACACTGTATCAAGTATTTAGCAGATTCTCAAAGCTTAGAACAAACATTCCATTGAACAGGTGCTTAGTATACTTACACTGCACCTTAGAATACGTGAGATTGGGTCTTTTATTAAGTAAGGAAATGTACCGACTCTTGGTTTTTGAAAAAGAGCCATGCCAGAGCACAGTGCCAGCACTGAGTGAGTTTTCTTTACTGAAGGCAAAGGCAGGGGAGGGCGAGAGCAAGCATGAGACACGGACTTGATTTTTATAATAAAAGTTGCTTCTGTGATAATAACAACAGTCCACCCTGGAGGCCAGAATCCTCATGACTTAATCATTTCTTAAGTATCCTACCCCTCAACATTACTGAACAGGGACTGAATTCCCAACCCATGAACAGAGCAATATCTTTGAGTGGCAAATAGCAACATCAAGGGATATTAAAGGCTAGGCATGGAGGTTTGTTTTTAATCTCAGTACTAGGAAGGCAGAGGCAGGCAGATTTCTGTGAGATTGAGGCCAGCCTGGTTTACATAGCAAATTCCAGGTCATTTGGGGCTACAGGGAGACCCTGTTTCAAAAACAAAACAAAAAGAGAGATATTAAAAACTGGAATTCATTAGGAAAGTACACAGTTAAACCATAATGAGATCAGAGAAATTTGCTGTATGTTAGTATATTTCAATAAAAGGAAAATATTTTTCAATGAATTTTAAAACAAGTGTTCCTACCCACCCTCTTCCAGATTACCTGTTCCTATATGACTGTGATGTAAAAACTCTGATGCACAAGGAGACCTCTGCATTAGAGACTGGCAGTGAAGAGCCTGCAAGGGGTGCACGTGTCTGGATGAAGTATACTTGGTGAATTAGTGTAGTCCCCATACTTTAGTGCTCTTTCCATAAGAGGAAGTTCTCCCTCCCCATCCTGTGAATCTGGGCTGGTTTTGGGATGTGCTTTGTCTGTCAAAACTTTTTTGTCTAGCAAGAAAAATATGCATGCATGTTCCAGCAGCTTGTGGCTTCTTCATTCTCATGGAGTATAGTCCAGAGACATCATTTGCAGAAGCTCTCCCAAGCTCCTGGGAATGAGGGGCTACAGGCACAAGAATTATGGGCCCCAATTGCCAGAGGTGTAGGGGTCCTGCAGACACATGAGCAGGGCCACATGAGCAGGGTGAGTTGTAGAAGAGCTATTTGGACATCCCATAGAACTGTGAGAAGTGATTACTGCTGCTGTAAGCCACTCCTGTTTTTCCTTTTTCCTTTTCAATACTTTTCACATGTGTTTCATAAAAACAAGGTTCTTTTACATAATCCTAGTACAATTAACAAAACCAGGAAATTTATTGTACGGATTTATTGAAATTTTACTAATTTCCTGGAGTAGGATCCAGCTCATAATCAGCTCTAGTCTAAATGGCTCCTCGGACTTTCTTTGTTTTTTATGACCTTGGCACTTTAGAAGTTTACCAGCCAGTTACTTTGTGGAATGTCTCTCATTTGAGGTTCTGGCAGAAACACTAAAGTGACCTGGTATCTCCCTCCAGAGGCACAAAATGTCCTTCTTGGCAATGTTGACTTTGCTCGTGTGGCTTAGATGGTGTCTGCTAGGTGTCTCTGCTAAAATTCACTCTTCTCCCTTTTGAAACGATAAAGTATTTTGGAGGAGAAAAATTTCATTTGTCTTTTTTTTTAAAACAGGGTCTCACTATGTAGACCTGTCTGGTGATTCTCCTGCCTCAGCTTCCCAAATGCTGCACTATAGGCATGGTTTGCCACTGTACTCGGAGAATTCTGAGACGGTTTAGCTACTACTTTTGCCTGGTCATTTTACATGCATCAGTGATTCTTGTCTGCAACAGTAATTGCTGCACCAGTTGCATTTTCTGATTTCTCCAATTCCTCCTATGTCCCATCATTTTTGAGTGTTTTGTCATGCAGAACAGATACTGGAGCACAGGGCCTTTGTGTTAGCATCCCTGCCACCTGTAAGTCTGTTAGCTTGGGTGGGTGGAACACTCAGCTGTGGAATGGCTGGGAAGTTGTGTGCGGCTCTTACTCCTCACCTCCCTGGTGAGGAGGACTGCTGTCACATCTCTACCAGCATCACATCATGAACCACCACATCTCCACACTGATCTGGTTCCCAACTTGTAGGAGTCTCCCTGATTTTGTCAGAGACTGTGGTACTCTGTCTACTCCACTCCTCATTCTCCCACCTAGTCAAACTCTCTTTGCCTGCTCCTTATGCCTGAAATAAGATTTGTGCTCCCCACTTCACCTCTGAGGCCTTCCTTCCTTCTGTAGCCTACTGCTCCCTGGCTAGGAGGTCTCACCTTCACCTTGCCTGCTTCCCCTGCCTCATGTGTCTTCCTTTACATTTTCTGTTCACACTTGGTTTCTTGGAGGCTTCTCTGTCTGCCTTCTACTCCTTGCCCTGCCAGACTTACTTTCTGTGCGGTAAGCTTTGTAAAAATGCAGTAGCTATCATCGTTTGTCTGATTTCCGGCTCCCTACCATTGTGGAAGTTTTTGCCCTGGCTCCATTCTGCTTGGTGCTGGGTAGAGCTGGAGTCTAGGGAATACTTGGTGACACAGAGTGGAACTTTTCAGGTCCACTTTCCACACATGCCACTTCCTCCAATAACCTCTTCAGGTGACCTCAAACAAAGGTGGGGTCCCTGTCTTTGGTCTCACAGCTCCTGCTCTTGAGGCAATTGTACTCGTACTGTGTATAGCTCTATCCACCCCCAGACCTCTAACACACTCACTGAGGACAGAGATCACCTATGAGGCTCACCATTGACCTCTAGTTCCCTGCAAAGGGTCTGGCATAGAGCAGGTGCTTAACGACTATGGGTGATAAATGGTTCTACTGTAGTAGTTCTGTTTAGGTGGGTAGATCATACAGACACTACTGGAGGATAATGATGGAAAAGTCTGGAAAGTTAGTCATGTTGCTAAAAACAGAGCATTAAAAAAATTTAAACAGGGGCCGGGTGAGGTAGCTTAGTAGGTGAAGACTCTTGATGATTTTGTTTGATCAGCCCCAAGGCTGATGATTTGTTTGATCCCCAGATGGTGGAAGAAGAGAATGCTGAAAAGTTGTCCCCTGACCTCCACATGCACCATGGTACACATACACATACACACATAATAAATAATAATTTAGATGGCCCCTGGGCAGACCTCTGTCCTTTGGTAGGATAAGATTGAGACCTTAGCATGCACCTTCAGAGTGCCTGCTCCGACCTCTATCGTAGGGGCTGAGATCTCAACATACCACCAGAGAATGCCTGTTCCAGTCTCCCATAGGGGCTGAGAACTCAGGGGACTGCCTGAGAGCTCCTGGATCCTGCCTGCACATAGTGAAGCCTTTGTGAGGGAACTGACACTGATTCTAGCCACACCAACAGCTATCAAAGTGCCTGAAAACAAACCCTGAGTCCATCACTCTCAAGTCTAGCCTTGGCAGACAAAAGGAAAACGAAGAGGAACCCAATAGAGTGATGCTTTTGGAAACTCTTGTCAAGAAATTCCAGTGGACTCTGATATGAATTTGCCCTGTTTTGACTTTTTTCTGGTTTTCTGTCTAGAACTTATAATGCTAACTACTCTTGCCTTTATTTCTCCTTCACATCTCCTATTCACTAGTCAAGGACTTTCTTTTCTTCCTACAGTTAAGAGTTATGCAATTTGGGAGTCTTTTAGATAGATCCACTGAAGGGGTATGCCAATTGCCTCGTCCTGCATGGAAGAAGCCAGAGTGGTCTGTATCCTGATTTCCTATTGGCAATTTGGGTAACCTCTTCAGGGGGTGTGGATTTGATCAAAATACCTTGTATGCATGTATGAAATTCACAATAATTTTTTTTAAAGTTAAAAAAGAACTGTTGGATGAAATGTACAAAAGACCAATAATCTTCTTTTAAAAATTAAAGAAAATAAAAATAATTTAAAAAATCCTAAAAAATTCACATAGAACTACTGAACCTCATTTGACTTTACTTGTGCATGTCTTAGATAAGACATGGGAAAGACTATCAGTGAGGACTGGCAGTCAGA